ATGTTTGGGTATTTGTCAGGCTGGTGTCTGGGCCGACCCCCCTGCTGGTTTGTCTGAGGGCCCGCTGCTACTCGGCCCCCCGGTGGGGTGTGCAGTTAGCCTCCGGCGTACTGGGGGTTCTCAGGGTCTGGGGCTAGGTGCTGGGGCATGTGCCTGCCTGGCCAGGTGGCTGCCTGCTGGGGCCCAGGTCCTCTGGCCCTGTTGGGCTCTGGCATGGGGGGGTGAGCCCTGGGGACCCGGATCTCTGTGCCCTTACCCGGGTCTGCTCTGGTGTGGCGGGTGCCGGTGGGGCCCATGAGTTTGTCGCTGCTGGCCCCGGGGGTTTACTGCGTGTGGTCGCTAGGGGGACACTCCCAGTTCTCCCCTATGGTCTGATCTGGGGGGTGGATGGGCGGATCTTCACATGCGGGTGCCCCTTGGGGCTCTGCGCTCGGGATCCCTCTCGGGCCCTTGGGCTCTGGTCTTCCCTATGTCTGCCTCGTGTCTAGGGGGTTGGGTCTCCGATCCTCCACAGTCACTATTAAATATTCCATTGGAGAAATCTTGTATATACACGCATGTTCACAACTGCTCACAAACAGGTGTTTTGATCCGGGGGGTTCTGACTGGTCACTGAGTGTGTATATATGTCTGTGCGTATATACTGACAATATTTATGAATGTAGGCATGTCTGTATGTATATCTTTATATATCTATGGGTATGCATATATATTTATATATGCCCTCCATGTATTTATCCATTTATTTTTCAGGTGAGCGGACAGATGTTTGTATGTGTGGTCCTGTGTTTTGTTGGTGTATACTTCTAATTGCTATTTCAATCTTTCTATCTTTCTAATTACTTCTCTCTCTGTCTCTATTTTCTCTTCACTTAAAAAAGTCACTGATGATGAAGGAATAAATAAACTAAATAAACTAATATTTGGTTTCGTTTTCTACTGAAGTAACACAGAAAAAAAAAAAGAGAAAGAAAATGTGTGGTGCTTTCATGAAGCGCATGATACGACAATAAGGACCCCGGACTGTTAAGTAAATGAAGTAGTTCATCAAGCAAGAATGGGTAAAAAAT